GAAAACCAGACACCACATGTTCTCACTCACAAGTGGCGGTTGAACAATGAGAACATATGGACATAGGGAGGGGAACATCACATACTGGGGCTTGTCGGGGGGTGGGGGGCTAGGGGAGGGATAGCATTAGGAGAAATACCTAATGTCGATGACGGATTGATGGTTGCAGCAAACCACCATGGCACGTGTATACCTATGTAACAAACCTGCATGTTCTGCACATGTACCCCAAAACTTAAAGTATAAAATAATTTTAAAAAGAAAAAATACATGTAGTTATCCTTACAACAGTCCTTATAGGAGCCCTGTCTGGAATATTTTAAGTTTCTCAAATATAATAATAATAAAATATAAGATGTATACATATAAATTGAAAGTATGTTACTATGATCACCATAAGTGATATATGACTGATAATAATAATATATAATTAATTTTTCTTAAAGTTAATCCTGGACTTTCAAGTCTTTTAAACATTTGAAAGAATACAAAAATATCAGGAAAAGAGAACAAAGTGAGATTGGCCATGGAAACAACTTACTATTGAGCATTTAAATTCAGACATTAGGAAACAATTACTACTGAGGCAGCTGCTTTTAAAACATATCCCATTTGAGCTATTGTGCACAGGTCTACATGGGATTTGACAGGTAGAAAAAACATTTATTGATTCCTGTTTGGAGGATTACTGCAGACTTGCTGCTTCAACAGGCTTTCAAACTAGGTTTCAGTCTTACAGAACAAACTGAACCCTGGAATCCTTTCCTGTCATTGTAACCCCCCAAAGTGACAAGTAAAATAAGCTAGGGTTAAGGAATGCTCTAAACTGCATGTGGAACAGGTGCTGTGTGCTGTTACAGAAACTCAAAAGCAAAAATGCTTTAGGGAGAAAAAGTAGATGTTAATGAGTCTTCAAACACCCTAGTAGTTTCTATAAACAACAGTGCATATTAGTTTGAATGTGTACTTAGAAGAATTGCTTACTCCCCAGTACAATGGGCTTTACTTTCATGGCTTCATCCTCTGAGAGCGCAGAGCTCTAGAAATTTAAGGCACTGATGAGATCATGCATAATCTATCAGGTTAAATACTATCATCTTCTCTGGCCTGGCTAGGTGTCTGAAATTTTGCTTTGATTATTGTAAATAACTTATCTCCAGTAGAGGAGCACTTGACTTTTGTGAGAAAAACATCTACACAAAAGATCAAGACTGGAAAGATAAAACATATTTTTAAGACACATAATTAAGAGATCTATGAAACATCTTAAGCGAGAGAAACTGTTAAACCAATTAATTCAATGGTATCGTAGAATTGGAAGTTTCTTTAGAACCCGTCTGCCTTATTTTAGGGATCAGGCCATTCAGCTGCTTTTAGTGACCAGAACCAAAATTTCTAAAATCTCAGCCCAGTGTGTCTTTCCTTTCCTAATTCAGAGTTAGTATAGGAAGACACAGTAGCAGGATTGACTTGGATCCAGTGAGAAGCCAGCATGACTCAGAAATCAGAAATCATGGACCAGGAACGAGTGTGATGTCAGACTTGACAGAGTAGTGTGACCTCTGCTTTCTCTTCCCTCAAGCTGTCCAGCACTCAAGCTCTTGCTACATTTTCAGAGAGAGTGGGAGATTCGTATCAACAATCTTAAGAAAAAGAACACTTATCAACAATTGGTTAAGCTAGTTATACAGAGGCCACCCAATTAAGCTAAGAGGTATCACTAGCTGTCTGCCCAGCCTGAGATCCCACTAATCCACCAGCTGTGTCTCATGAAAACTTCTCCCTGCATTTGCTGTATTTCCAGAAGGGCTTCAGGAAATATCAGATAAGTCCCCCTGGGTCATGCCAGATCAAGCAAGCTTTTACAGGAATCTGTCTCTCTCTCTCAGGGCCTCCCACTAATTACTGACCAAATGGTGGACTTCAGTGTGGCATGGTGGAACCTGCCTGTTTGATTATTTATTTATCTAAACTTCTGGTCTCTTAAGGCTGACATTATTTTCTTAGGTGAAACAGAGAGAGTGGCTTTCAAAACCTTTTTTTTTTTTTTTAGAGAATGTCTCTGGGAAAGGACCGGCACTCCATAAATTCTGAGCAGGATTGAAATGTTTCATTTAAAGCAGTTGTTAGAATGAGGGACAAAGAGAGGCAAAGGCAGAGTGAAAGAGGGAGTGGTGTGGCCCCAGAAAGTGGTTGGTCTGTGGCCGTCAGGGAATAGAGAGTGTAAAAAGCTTCTTGCACACATTGCCTCATCTATAAAACCCAGAACTACTTGGCATCTCTCTAAGTAACAAATGGATCTAAGGGCTGGAGAGAAGTGCTGTTGGCAGGAAATAGTCTCCAGGGCTATATGCATTGCAGACTGTGCGTTTCTCTATAGTGCATAGATCACAGATTACAAAGCTGTGTTCACATGCCTTTTGTACCTAAGGACTACATTTTGCAGGTTTTAGTTTGTTTCATGATCACAATTTCTGGGGGTGAGAGAATAAATATGGATAGTTGAGATAAAGAAAAACTGCAGATTTTGCTTTTGAGATGCAGGGAAGAGGAAAGAGGTGTGAAGAAATATTAAGAGGAACAAGATAGAGAAGATAAAGGTGTTCAGCCTTGGGAAGGCTCCTCTCTCAATTTTCAGGACTTTCGTTTTAAATGAAAACCTGTGTTCTATACAATTTAAAATTGATCTGTAGGTTGGATCCCTCCTTCAGCCTCTGCATGTTTGAAACTCAAAGCATGCGCCCTTACACAGCAGAGTACAATGCAAGATTCCTACACTCTAGCTGATTTGTTTTTTTATCCCAAACACTGAATTCATAGGTGAGCTAACAAATCTTGCAGAAGAAGGGACCTGAGAAGAGCCTGAGTTAAATTTTAAGTGTCTGGTTTGTCCCAGAGAATCCATTGCTCTGCTTTGTCTCTCCCTTTGAAACATGCAGGCAGCAGATTAACTCAGTGCCACAGAAACTGTCTACAAAACAGAACATTGCCATTTCTTGTCCTGCCGGTTAGCAAAAGTAAATTGACTTCCGAGTCTCCTGCTGACTACCTATTGACTATCTCTTGACCCCGGCCCCACCCAGATACCAAAACAACAAACAAGCAAACAAACCCTTACCTGTTTAAAAGACAGGAACAACAAGCAAAACTTCAAAATCCTCTTTTCTCAATCCTGATATCCACTAGAATTCAAAAAACCATCCTAGGTTGTAATTTCTGACAAGGTTTACTTGAGAGTGAAAAGGACGCTTAATAGTGGATATGACATTAAAGGCACTCAAAACTTTTGATCCCAATCTTTGAGTCATTAACATTGTTTACACCAGTTGTGCTTTCTGAGTAAATGGAACACTTTATTGTTATTTGATTTTAGTTACTCTTATAGCTGCCATTGTGAAGTTTTTGAAATTTTAATTGCTCTATAGCATCTTAGTGGATTCTTTATAGTCTTGAAAATATTTAGGATCCCGTCCCAGGCATAAAAATAAACTGTTCAAAACCTTTTGTCAAGTTTATGCTCGAAGCTATTGTATCCTTTGGGTTATTTTCAGAGGCACGGTTTTTAGGCATTTCTAACGCTGTTGAATTTCTGAGCCTTAAATATGTCAACGACCATCTGTAGCTCTACTCCAAATATCCTTCCCAGTTGGGGTTGTAATACTCATCTCCCACATTCAGGACCTCGGCTAACTCCTCTCAACCCTTTGCCTGGTCTGGGGCAGGCTAAATTACAAAGAACAGGCTGAACCTTTATTTTAACCTGGTCTTTTTTTGCCAGAAAAAGTAATATAGCAACGACAGTAATGCATCTCATGTTTTAGTAACAATGGTTTACCCCAGGGAGCATTAACGTCACTGTGTACCTTAGCAGCTACTTTTCCTTGCATTTCATAATTCCCCTTCCCCATGACCCGGCCCCGCCCGTGGGCAGCATCCCAAAGCCGCCTCGCTGACGTTGGTTAGGGTAGAGACGCTCTCCGTAAAGGCTGTCCAAGCCTTCTCTTCCTTTCATTAGCGGTGTAATCCTGTGTTCCCGCCGGAGCCTGGCACGGAAGTGTAATCTTCCCGCGGGGGCCCTCCTGTAGTCTCGCCTACCTGAGAGCTGAGACTAAATGAAATATAAAATATTCACGATAAGAGGAAACAAAGGATGCTACCTCCAGGATGGCTACTGTGCCTGAGGCTGGGCTCTGTCTCAGTCATCCCAGGGCCTCTCCGTCTGGCCCCACCCTCGCCCCTCCATGGGATCCACAAGTTGAATCGCAGCTCTCTAGGGTGAATTTCCCTGGCCAGGAGCCAGACTCTGCACCGCCGCCCCGTTCCCCCCCTGCTGGGGAGCGCAGAATGACCACCAGGAGGCCAGGAACAAAACGCTTAAATGTTGCATTTATTAAGGAAATGTTAAATAAGAAAAAAACCAAAAAGTCAAAACGGTGTCACGGATGTCAAGAGCACTTTTGTGGCGTAAACCGTGCAGTCACGAGCTACGAGTTCTATTCTGGGTCTTTGTATCAGGGCCAGCAGGAACGCTAGACACCTCCCAAAAGACCCAGTGGGAAATGCACTAAAAGAAACAACTCACCCCCCTCAAAGTCGCAGGCTCCCCTCCCCCCACCCCTTCTCCCACAATGACAAAACTTTAACCCCTCAGGCAGGCAAACAGGCCACTGGGGCAGAAAAAGACTTATCAAATATTTGTATTCAAGCAAACAAACACAAAACCTCTTAAAACGGCACGTTACAATCAAAGGTATTTATCGCCTCTCCCCTCCAGGGCTGGTGGGGAGCAGGAGAAGAGTGGGAGCACACCCGGACACGGATTTGTGAGACCCCATGATGTCTGCTGCGTGGCTTTTAACAGGTCACTTTTCCGGTCACAAGGCGATCAGTGCCGCTGGGTCTCTCCCCTGCCCTCCCTCTCCACTTGCCCCCAGAGCTTGGCCCACCTGCGGGTGGAGAAGGGCCTTCGCCCCGTCGTTCTCCCCGCATTCCAAGTAAGTAGCAGCTTCCAAAGTTCTGCGCCCTAATCGCCTTCTTCTTGCCACTTTCTGCTGAGTCCAGAAGTCCGGGCGCTCTCCTCCGACTGCCAGGCATGAGGACTTTCAGAGGGCGAGGGAGAAACCGGTCGCTTCTTTCCGAAAGGCCGAAGTCGAGAGAAATAATTGACTCCGACAGGTTTGCTTCGCCCAGTCTCTGACAGTGAGGGGCACAGCCGGGCTGGCAAAGTGGGCAGGCGTGGGAGCGGTTGCCGCGGGGGCGGAGGGCGGGTCAGTAGGGCCCCACGACCACTGCCTCCACCTCCTTAGACGGTCTCCGGTCCTTCACGAGGAAGTTGATCATGCCTTCGGACTTGATCAGCAGATTGCAGCCGAGGAAGAAGATGCCGAAGACCACGGTGAGTGAGAGCACGCACATAACGGCGATCTGCACCACGCGCATTATGTACAGGCTGCGCTCGTCCGGGCCTCCCTCCGCGAAGCCGTCGTCGGTCACCACGGACGCCTGGGTGCAGCAGCGCACGGCTCGCTCCAGCGCCTCGCTGCTGTTAGCCAGGAACAGGCCCGCCACGTAGGTCTGGTTGCCCAGGGCCGGATTCATCGCAGGAGCCGGCGGGCGCCGCGAGCGGCGCGGGTCCGAGGGGTGGGAAAGCGGCGGCGCTGGAGGAACAGGTGCTGAGCTGAGCGCTCACTCGCAGACTAGCGCTTGCGAGGGCTCCTAGCTCTGCTTTCGAAAGTCCCTGGGCCGTGGGAGTTTCCCAGAAGCCTCTCCGACGCACGCAGCAGCTAGGCTCTTCTAAAGCCGTCCGCTCCAGCCCAGGCGGTGCTCGTTCCGGCGCTCGCTCGACTGGGGGCTGTTGGAACTTGGCGGGGCTGGACCAGCCCGGCCGTGGGAGGTGCGGGCAGCGGCGGCTGCAGCGGCGGGGCGGCTGCACTGAGTAAACAGCGGCCCCTTCCGGCCGCACCGCCGCGCTGCGCGCTACTCTTGGGCGGTGGAGGAAGCAAAGGGGCGAACCTGGTCTTGCTTTTTATTGCTTTCTTCTTTTGCAAACTCCGAAGGCCAGGCAGAGGTCATCGTACTCTTCTAGCTTGATGGATGATTAAAAGAGTTTGGCGGGGGAGGGTGCGGTCAGCTGAAAGTTTCAGAGGAACTGGGACACACCAGCTCTGCGTGTCCTCTGCCGGCTGCCCCCCTGACCTCTGGGCTGATGGAAAGTGGCGATGAATCCCAGGTGCCAGATGGTGCCAGCTGAGGCCACCCGCCCACCGCCTGTGCTTGACTCCGTCTCGCCTGCGTTGGATTTCTGGTGGAGTGGAGGTGATCTGAGAATGTTTCTTACAAAGTAATGAATTTGGAAAGACAGAAAGGCATGGAAGAAGGAAGGAAGGAAGGAAAGAAAGAAAAAAGGAAGGGAGGGAGAAAAAAGAGCTCTACACTCAACTTCCTTTACAAAAGCGATTGGGAGACAGAGCAAGGCCGATTTTATCATGAGGTCTGAGGCCAAGGAAAGGGGGTTAGAGGAAGGAGGAGTTCTTCTGTGGCCCTTGGGTGGAGGTGGTTGCCGGGAGCAGGGTCACCTCTCTGGTAAAGGAGGTGAACAAAGTGACCACTTGCTTGTAATTTTAATTGCAGATGAATTTTTGGATGTGCTTCCAGCATTTTGTCCATTGGCAGTAAATCAGTTGTTTAAAGGAATTGCTCATCAACATCCATCACCTAAAACGCTGGCCAAATGCTGGGAGCCCTCCCCATTTTCCATAAGCTGATGCATTTCACCCTTAGTCATTTAAACTAAACACAGATGTTTGTATGGGCCTGATTGACGCTTCAGCCATTGTGATTTTGCTGTAGGTTCCAACGAAATTTTATAAACCTGTAGATTAAGTTTCTTAACTCTGAAAGAATACTGCATGATCCCGCGCCCCCTTTTCTATTTTCTTTTCCCTCCCCCCTTTTCCCCATTACTCCCTGCCTTCCTCCCTCTTTCTTTCAGCTGTAACAGCTGGAAACCAGTAACTTGAGCTTTCAATAGAATACATTTATTTTCTATTAAATGTTCTCACCACAAAGAACTGATAAAAATTTGAGATAATGGGTAGGCTAATTACTCTGATTTGATCATTCCACAATGTATATATGTATCAAAATATCACTTTGTACCTCATAAATATGTACAATTGTTTGTCAATTAAAAATAAAACTGAAAAGCAGCTGTCTTGCCATTTTCAACTCTAAATTTCATTCTGTTTGCTTGGTAAATCCTCTTATTTCTGTTTCTTAAAACGTTATTTATTCCATCTTCAGAGTGTTCCTTAAATGTTTTTGCACTGCTTCATGACTATAATAAAATAGAATGAAATGCCTTCTGGTTGAGTTTTCAATTTTTTGATGTTTATTGTATATCAGCTGCAATAAGTTTGATTTTTTAGAATAGCTATTATTATTTTGAGGGGGGTGTTTAACAGCTGAAAACTCAGGCTTGGGCTTCTACCACAATTCACTGGCTTATTGTTCTAGTTTCCCATAATTTAATTAGAACTGAAGAATGCCTCACTCTCAACAATTTCTTCTTTGAACAAATTTATTAATAATTGATCAGTAAGAATTTACTTAAATCTCATCATACAATCAGTCTATCTTAGTTAATGTGGGAAGTCCTTAAGAATAATAAAACATAATGTATACGTGGAAAATATTACAACAAACTTAAGGCAATATAACGTAATCCTGAAATGAATGGTAGAGAAAAGTAATAGAAATTTAGAAAAGTAAAAGGTCAGAGAATAGAGGCCCACCTCCAGGGATCAAGTTGTACAGAATTGTGTGTGCAATTGAAGTTAGGTGTAAGCAAATGGAGAGGGAGTAGCCCCTTCTTTATGTGACAAAAACCAAGAGTTAGTTTATAGTACATTTGTAAGGTCCAATATGGCAGGATGCTAAAAATGTTAGTTGAATCATTATCAGAATTTGAGTATATTTATTGCTATTAAGGGTATTGCTGTTTTAGTCAGGTCAGTGTCAAAATAATCAAACCTTGGAGTCCAGGAGAGGTTTTATATTTAATCAAATCTTTGCGTGGGAAAGCACACTATTAAAAGACATAAAGTAACGCTATGACTTTGTTTCTTTTCTCTCAGGTTTAAGGACTAATCAGTCACAAAATTGTTGACAAGGTAATAGGTATTTCCCCCATCAGCTAGTTCAGCTCTCTGGTTTTGTTCCAGACAATCTTGGGATTGTTTCCCTTATTTTCCCTCCACTCTGATTTGGTTTAATAAAATTACTTAGCACATTTAGATGGAAATTAATTATAAACTTAGTCATACAAAAATCATATTTATTATTCATTCATTAATTGACTTAATCTGTGTTGCTGGAGAAACCTTTATTTATCTTTTACAGAATCCCTTTTATTTATCTTTTCCTTTTGTATTTTCAGTGAACAGTTTCCTCTCAGTTTTTCTCCTTTTATTCACCTGTTTCTTTTTTTTTTTTTTTTTTTTTTT